GGTGGTCCCGCGGCGCAGGGGCGCGGACGAGCTGCCGCCGCCGCCGCCGCCCCTGCCGCCGGCCGGCCAGGAGTTGTGCGCGGCCGGGGACTCCCGGGAAGGTCCGAGGCGCCCTCCGGAGGCGGCGGTCTCTGAGGCAGCGGCGGGGAAGGGCGGCCCCGGGGAGCCTGAGGGCGAGCGGCGGGGCGGCGGCGACCAGCCCGAGACGCGCTCGGTGTGCAGCAGCCGCAGCAGCAGCAGCGGCGGCGGTGGCGACCAGCGCGCCGGGCACCAGCACCAGCACCACCAGCCCATCTGCAAGATTTGCTTCCAGGGCGCCGAGCAGGTACGGCCCGGCAGGACCCCGGGGCAGCTGGCGGTGGGCTCGGGTCGGGAACCGGCCGGCCCTCGCGCGCGGCGGCCGGCCGTTCAGCACCACGGACAGCGCTCGCCTCTCGCGGGCTCCGCTGTGCGGCTGGTCTGGTCGCGCCACGTGAAGGGCGCCTGTCTACTCTCTGTTCACCTCGCCCTCCCTGGGAAGACAGTTAAACATGTCCCGTTGGCGAAGACAGGGTTTAATTTGATCCACACTTTCCCCCCCTATATCGTTTTGCAGTTACACATTCCTCAGGTGCTTGAGTGATAATGCCATATAGTCTCTCTGCTATTTACTAAATGGATTTTGGTTTTTGATTAGAAACAAACCTATATCCTTTTTCTACAAATGTATCCTGAGGCAGATCGTATTAGAATACAAACTGGGGTGAGTCATGGCAAAACCAAAAGGGCAACATCTTTCCTTATTGCAAATTTGGTCGCCTGATCTCAGTGATGTGAAAGGCGTGTTACAGTTTCCTAAGAGAATTAATTAGGAACGTACTTTGGCCTTGTGAAAGAAAGGCTATTTAGGCAACCGTGTACTTTATATTTTGTAGAAACACAGTTCTAAAATATGAATTCCATTAGAGCTGCATGCAAACTTATATGCGAGTAGTCACGGAGACAACAGGATAATATATCTCTATAAAACGTGTGGTCTGAGAAAACATTAGGTTTGATATTTTTAAAGGTAAGGAAATTGCGTAAGAATATGCAGGCTTTCAAGAATATAGTGCCCTAAGTCAATATTTATGATGCTACATTTAGAAAAAAAATAAAAGCGTAATGCGATTGCAAGCTACTTTCTGGGATGCCGCGCGTTTCTTCTTTAGCAACGATTAAGAATAACTGCAGAGGAAATGCATCTGACCATCCACTTAAAAGTTATTAAAGAGATTTAATAGTACAGCTTTCTCCCAAGGGTATCGGGAGCTACATCTTGAAGACATTTTGTATGTTGGTAGAACATTTATGTCATAACTCTAAGCAATATCTTTGAAATAGTTTAAGACTTTAGTTTCATTCCCATCAGAGGTATAAAATTTTAATTTAGTGAAAAGGATAACTATTGCATTGCTCTGTACACCTGAAACTAACAATAAAAAGATTAAAAAAAATTAATTTCATTTTCTAGGATAGAGTTTGATACTTGTATCCTTCTGGGTAAATGACTTTGAAAGAAAAGAAAGCAAGCGTTAAATTTTTAAAATAGAGACACAAACATAAATATTCATACTGAGCTGTTTTCTTTTCAGGGGGAGCTGTTGAACCCCTGCCGATGTGATGGGTCAGTTCGGTATACGCATCAGCTGTGCCTGCTAAAGTGGATCAGTGAGAGGGGTTCCTGGACCTGCGAGCTCTGCTGTTACAGATACCATGTCATAGCCATCAAAATGAAACAACCTTGCCAGGTAAACATTCGTGACATTTTTTTCCCTGAAATAATTTTACTAAACATAAGTGCACTTGAGTTTATAGTTATTACTAGGGATGTTTACATATGGCACTTAAAAACATTTCATGCAAATCACGGTAAAAGCAAGATTTAGAATTTGTAGAGATGTGCTTTGAGAAATCTGTGATATTTTTATCTGAGAAACTCAAAAGACATTTTATTCAAATGGTTTCCTGTATTAATTTGTTTATTGATAAAATTATACCCATCTTGTTTCTAAAAGGGCAAGTTGGTAAAATGTCTTATACTCCAGATAAATTGATTTTATTAGATATATTACACAATTTATTTTAGTTAATTTAATTTAAGCTTTGAAGCCCTGAATGGGCTCCATTTATGGAAAACAGATGCAAGTAAAGCAAAACTTTACTAGGCTGGAAACTTTGTTTGAACCTTTTATTCAAAGAATAATTATGAGAATCTAGTTCTAATCTGAACCCTCTCTTTACTTAATCAGGCTTTCTTTTTCATAGGAGGATTTTTTTTTAGTTAAATTTTGATTTCTTTCATTCTTTCCTGTGGTCAGCTACGTAGTGGATACAGAAGCATTTCTAGCAATTATTCTCAATAATACTACTGAAATTGTATATATTCTTAAACTTATTGTGTTTAATCACAATACCCATAAACCTGTAAATGCCCTTGGAAAAATGGGCTATTGGTTTTTTTGTCATGGTAGAACTGATTCAGTTCTTTGAAAAGATTAGTGTAATGTAAAATACTAAATACTAAGGATGACATCTTAAACTAAAGCAGAATAGTGTGTAATTGACAAGATATGGTAGTGACATGGGGCTGAAGGTAAGCAGGCATGAAAGAGTAGTGATCAAAGCAGACAAAGGGGGTAATGGAAGGAAAAGGAAGAGGGAATTGAAAAGTTAGGAGGCAAGAAAGTCATAAAATCTAGTGTTCCCTGTTTCTATTTCAATTACCAAAGTTAGTTTGCATTGAGCAGTATAAAATAGGTGAAATTATGCTTGCAGAAGGAACCTGGAAACTGATTTGCTACTGTATTAATCATTTAAATTTTATAGTTTTTAATTTGTGCAGCCTTCATATGATTTGCAATTAATTTGCATCTTTGATAGTCACCATTTAAGGCATGGTTAACAGGCATGAAGTGAAAATATGAATTTTCTCATATTTATAAGACCTAAGGCTTATAAATAATTTGAAAAGAATAATAACACTGCGAATGAGTGATGTTATCATGCTGAAGAAAGACATAAACCTGACACCCTTCCCCAGAACCTCTAACTGATTGAGCTACTTGGCTATCAATTTATGCATCCATCAGTTGTCTTGAAAAAGAGATGGACCCAAGTCCAAAGACCAAGATATGAGTAGTGCAATTGAATTTACAATAACTTTATGAATAGAAATGTGTGGCAATGACAAATGGAGAGCTTTGGGGCTCCAGTGAAAAGTCCCAGGAGAAGTGCTATGGTCAGATGTTCAAGAGCTGAAAGAGGATGCTAAGTATTTCAAAAGCTTTAACTTATATTAATTCATTTGGGCTGATTATTTTTGAAGCAAAATAGATGCAGGTCCTTGATGTAATTTTAAAATAGGGAAGAGACAAAGGACTGGGCAATAATACAATTTACTAATTCTAATCCTATAGCAAAATGAATGATTACCACTGTGTTTTGCTTCATTAAAAAAATTAATAATTATTTTAACAAAAGCTATTTCCCAAAGTGTGTGTGTGTGTGTGT